AATGTGTGTGGTGTGTCACGTCTTTCGTGCCAACTTTGTAATAAAATGTGATCTGTGATTCTTTAGAATTTAGAACTTTCGTGTTATTGTATAAATATTGATATATATATATATATAAAAAATGTGCCATAAATTAATTTTAAATTCAAATTTAAATTATATCATTTAATTAGGGAGTTAAAAAAGAAATATGTTTATTAAATTTACTATTATAATAATTATGTAATTAAAAAAAATAAAATTGTACTAAAACTATTAAATATAAATAAAAAGTATTAAGTAATAAGATTGTTTCCTTTTTATTTAAAATGGTGCAAAATGTAGCATCTCTTTGTAACATAATTGTAATTTCTTATATTGGCTGCACTTATTTGGCAGTTCATGTATAATCCATACATTAAACAATTTAAGGAGGTTAACTTACATCAAACCTATATTTTGTTTTGTTTATAAAGAAAACTTATGAAGAATAAGTGAAAGAACGTATATAAAAGACAAAAATGGATTTTCAAAATCGACCAGGAGGTAAAACTGGTGGCGGAGGTGTTGCATCATGGTCAGAAAGTAATCGAGATAGAAGAGAACGTTTACGGCAACTTGCGTTGGAAACTATTGACCTCAACAAGGACCCGTATTTTATGAAAAATCATTTAGGTTCTTATGAATGTAAACTATGTTTGACTCTTCACAATAACGAGGGCAGTTATCTGGCTCACACACAGGGTAAAAAGCATCAAGCTAACCTAGCTAGAAGAGCTGCTAAGGAAGCGAAAGAAGCCCCTCAAACACTTGCGCCCGAAAAACCTCGAGTAGAACCAAAAAAATTTGTAAAAATTGGAAGGCCAGGTTACAGAGTAACTAAACAACGAGATCCAGAATCAGGACAGCAAAGTTTACTGTTCCAAGTTGACTATCCAGAGGTAGCAGATAATGTTATTCCAAGGCATAGATTTATGTCTGCGTATGAACAAAGAGTTGAACCACCAGATCGTAAATGGCAATATCTACTGTTTGCCGCTGAACCTTATGAAACTATAGCTTTCAAGGTAAACTTTAAAATATAAAGATATAATTAAAAAATCATTTACCAATATTTTATACTCAGAAATATGTATAAATTTACACAGGTACCTAGTAGAGAAGTTGAAAAAGCAGAAGGCAAATTTTGGACACATTGGAATAAGGATACAAAACAATTTTTTTTGCAATTTGCATTTAAGAACGAAAAGCCTTCAGTTGGCAAAGTACCACCACCTCCTGTTCCTTTAATACGACCTGGTTTAGGTCCACCTATGGTACCAGTTCCACCACCACCAAGACCACCTATATTTAATCCAGTACCACCACCACCAGCACTTTTAGCTACAGGCATGCAAATACCTCCACCACCACCACATATAGCATAATTTTCTTATTTAAATGTAACAAAATTAAAAGATACAAATTAATATTAAAATGTATATCTTTCAAGAAAAAGTATATAAAAATATAAAGAAGGATTTATATTATATTGTTCTTCATTCCTTATTTTATATGCCTTCATGCTAAGAACAAAATTTAAAGTTATTCCAAAAATGTCAATAACTTTAAAGTTTTACATTTACTATTGTAAAACATGTACAATGTAAATAAAAAAATCAAGAGCAACAATTTTTTTGTTATTGTTAAAATTTATTAAGAATGTAAACGTATTAGAATGTACAACAGGTCTGTTGAAGATTCCAGTTCCTGAAACATAAAAAATATTTATTAAATTATGTAAAAATATTTATTAAAATATATATTATTAAATTTAATTAATATTATCAGCTATATAGAACAATCTACATGGAGTTAAGTGTTGTATGCACTTTTCCGACCGCCCGTTCATTTTATCATCATTAACAACTTTAGTCTTTTACAATTTAATCATACTAGAGAAGTTTTATTATAAAATATCTACCTGCCTGCTTAAGCAGAGAGAACACAAACTCCTCCAACAGCCTTAATTTTATCTTCTGCCAGTTTACTGAAAAATTTGGCTTTAACAATAACTGGTTGTTTAGGAAGTCGTCCTTTACCCAGAAGTTTGTAATATCCCTACATAAAATTAAATATAAAACAAAAATATATTACAATATAGCATTTTCAAATTAGTTTTTTCAATAATTTTCCTACAAATTGTACTTACCGCTTTAACTAAATCAATTACTGGAACTTTGTCTTCTGAATCTTTGTACTTAAGCCTGGTTTGTTCAGAAACTAATGTCCATAATTTATCCAAATTCAAGGTGGGACACCATTTTGTGTTACGCCTTAAATGATAATTTCGCATACCAAGCTGTAAATTTAAGTAAAAGTCTATTAATAATATCCTTCTATTAGTATAAATTGGATACTTATATAACTTGTCAGAATATTAAGTGCATTCAAAATAATTCAGTTCGCCGGTGAATAATAGTTATCATCATTTAATATTTAACAGTTAACTTTTTATAGAAATGTTAAGTATATATATTTACCTTTCCAAAGTAGCCAGGATGGTATTTGTCAAAATTGATACGATGATGGTGTAAACCACCGGCATTACCACGTCCACCGGGATGTTTTCTGTGTTTACCTAGAATGAATAATTTAATATTATATTAAATTACTGTTATTAAAATAAAAATTCTGAAATTAATATATTATAAAAAGAAACTGTACCTATACGTCCGTGACCATGACTCACGTGACCACGTAGCTTCCTGGTCTTTTTTTTATGTGTAGACTATTAATAAAAAGAAACACATAAATTAAACAATAAAGTTATTCATACAATTACATTGTTTCATAAAATAGGTTATGTTCGAAATGTAACGCAAACTCGTAATGCTAACAGTATTTACAATCAGCATTGAATTTAATCATTCCAAAAAAGAAAAATAATAATTCCACAAAAGTATTCAATAAATTTTTAGTTAAATTATAATTTTCATTATTTTATTTGAACAAAGATGGTTTTAATAATTGCAGATTACGGAAAAATAAATTTAGAACCTCGACTTACCATCTTGATCGCGATATAAAGAACGAAGAGCGTTTATTCTTTACTGGAACTGTTACATTTTCACCAGATGGCGCATATGTACCTTGAATATCATTTACTCACAAAATAACTATTAAAAATGTAACAAAAATTACTAGTATTACAATTATAACAAAAATAGAAAATACATTTTGAATTTTATTAAATTAAATCATTTATTCTAGATATGAGAAATAACTTGTTCTGTACAACATAAATATTTTAAAATAGAAATTTTCATGCAAGTCAAATTTTATGTGTTTTGTATCATTTATATTTAACTTTTATATTAATAACATAAAAGCTCGTAAAAATTACGTGTTTTATGAAATGAAAATTAAAATATCAATACAAGGTGAATATTTCTTTTACTAACTTTATTTTTTTAATCATTAGTTGCACATACGAAGTTGGCTTTAATCTTCATGTAATGTACATCTTGAAAATGTATGGTTAAGTTATGCATATACTTGTGCAGACCGGATTAAAAGGACAGGTGGAGATCTGCAGATTTCATATGATTTATTTATATAATAATTCCAAAATTATATTTAAAAAAGAAATTTAATTTATCCATAAAGAAAATTTTATTAGTGAAACGATAAGGAAGCCGTTAAAAAACTGAACGTGCGCAAGGAAAATCTAAAAACTAGATCAAGATGCAGGAATCTCAACCGAAGAAAGGCAAGAAAGGTAAGAAAATAATAAATACACATGTAATTGAATAAAAATAAAATGATGGTACCTCGAATCTGTACAAATGTTTACGTTTTACTGAAATTTTTAATATTCTTTTCTTATATGACGACTGTCGTCTGCTTTCACTTCACTAACCTCAATTTAACCGCTTTTCTTTACATACGGAAAGGACAATAATATGTTTTTACTTTCTCCGTAATATTCGTAATTCGATAAATTAAAGTTTATCTTGTCTATCTCTTTATAGAAATAGTTTCCTTTATGATTTATAGAAATAGTTATAATAGGTTGGTATTCATAATTCGAAAGTAATATTAGATAACATGATTTTTTATTTTTATTAAATCAAATTTTTATTAAGTAATGCAGATTAATACACGAATAAAATATTACATTAATCAAATTAGTCATAATGTATTCATTGTTAAGGTGAAAGTTGCTAATTTTCTAACTAAATAGTGAAAGTATCTTAAGATAGTATCTTGAATACTAAGTATTGTTGTCTATTTGTGTACTTTCATTAAATCACAGAAAAAGTCTTTTTAATAACTTTTTACTTTATTACATATTATATATCAATACATAATATATGCTGATGTAAAGATTAAAAATTTAATAATTTAATCAATTTATTTAAATATTTACAACAACTAATTAAATCATGCAATATGTTGGATGCATAATTAATTTCTGATGTATTATTGATAATTCATATTTATGATTAGCCAGAAGAAAGCGCAATGATAGTGATGAGGAGGATATTGAAAAAGTATTGGCTGAATTGGAACTTGAATATTCTGGACAGAAGAAGGAAGTCAAAGATGCATCAGTTGAACAGAAAATTGAAGATGAAGATAAAAAGAAGAAGGGGAAAAAGGATAAGAAAAGAGAGAAAGGTGATATCATTGATATTAAAGAAGAGTTAAAGACTACTGAATTTCTTGAAGCAAATGACATTGATGACGAAATGGAAGTTAGTACTGTAAAAACTGCTGCACAAAAAAAGAAAGAAAAGAAGGAAAGAGAGAAGCAGAAAAAACTTGCTCAGAAAAAAGCTGTATGTTGATTCAGATTGTTATATTTATCTTATTTATATTAAATTTATTATTACATTTTAGTATATTACATGTAAATTAATTGATAATAGGAAATGACTAAGAAGGGAGAAAATGAAGAAGAACAGCCTGCAGTTACAACAGAAAAGCAAAACAAAAAGGAACCAGAAGTAAAAGTTCCAGAAACAAAGACTACAGAATTGAAAGAAGTCAATGAAGGAGATATTTCTATACCTAATGAAGGTGATGAAGGAAAAAAGAAAAAAAAGAAAGGTGCGAAAGAGGAAACAAAGGAAAAAGGTAACACATAGTTTTAGTGTTCTTTCTTTCTAAGTAGCAAATTAATACAAGTTAAATTTGTTAGGATATAACATTAATATGTGTCTACATTTAGTATAATTAGATATGTGCAATAGGCAAAGGTCCTGGGAAGAAAACTATTGCTGCAATGCAAGAAGCCTTAAAGAAATTGAAGGAGGAAGAAGAAAGATTAAAACGAGAAGAAGAAGAAAGGTTACGACAAGAAGAATTACGGGAACAAGCTCGATTAGAGCAACTCAGGCTAGAACAGGAACGAAAAGAAAGAAAAAAGCTTAAGGAAAAGCAGAGGAAAGAAAGATTAAAGGCAGAAGGAAAGCTTTTAACTACAAAACAAAAACAAGATAGAGCCAGAGCACAAGCTATGATCAATGCGCTTAAAGCTCAAGGTTTGGATGTACCAGGTGTAGGAGAAAAGAAACCTCCTAGGCCAGGTATTTATTTATAATATTCTGTTGTAAAAAGCAATATATGTATGTAAATAAATTCACATTAATGAGATATATATATATATATATATA